GCTTGGTCCTTTGGTTCATTGAACTTTAATGTCGCCTTAATTCTATTTGCTTAAATTTTCGTAAATACTTTTGTAGAGAACGAACAGTAAACTGATTGGCCTGTAATTTTTTCAGTCCTTGTCGTCTCCTTTCTTATGAGTTAAGATGACGTTGCCGTTCTTCGGAAACTCTGGTACTCTTTCCGTCGAGAGACACTTCGTATGTAAGGTGGCCAGTTTTTATAACACAATTTCTCCGCCATCTTTCAGGGGGTCCGTCGTTACCTTATCCACACCAATGGCTTTGCCTCTTTGCATTCCTTCTATAGGGCTTTCCTTACTTCTCTTGTCGTTACTGGTAGGATGTCGAATTCCTCTGGGCTATTATTGCTTCTCATCTTGTTTTTTTCGGCTTCTGTACAGCTCTCTTTAGAACTTCTCCACCACCTCAACTATCCTATCCATATTGGTTATGACATTGCTTTTCTTGTCCCTTAATGCATACATTCGATTTTTGCCTATGCATAAGTTTGCCTTCGCAGCTTTTAGGCTTCTGCCGCTTTTTACAGCCTGCTCGATTCTCTCCATGTTATACCTTCTAATGTTGGCTACCTTGCGCCTATTGATTCTTCGAAAGCTCCGCTAGCTCTATTTTGTTGGTCACATTTGAGGCTTTCATGTTTTGTCCCTTAATGTGATTTTTCGTCTCCTGATATAGTTTGCCAGTGTCCTCTCTAGTGACTGCCCCGCCGCGGTGGTCTTGTGGCTAAGGTACTCTGCTGCTGACCCGCACGTCGCAGCAGAGTACCTTAGCCACAAGACCCGCAGTTCGACCCGGATTCGAACTGCTGACCCGCAGTTCGAATCCCGGCTGCGGCGGCTGCATTTCCGATGGAGGCGGAAATGTTGTAGGCCCGTTTGCTCAGATTTGGGTGCACGTTAAAGAACCGCAGGTGGTCGAAATTTCCGGAGCCCTCCACTGCGGCGTCTCTCATAATCATATGGTGGTTTTGGGACGTTAAACCCCACATATCAATCAATCTCTAGTGACTGTACCTCCACAAGATCTAAGCAAGATAATTGAATATTTACTGGGACTGGAGGAAATCAGGCTCACTGACCGTCTACCTAAAATAGCAACAAAATATGTGATGCTGGCGTCGGTCATGATCGCGATTGAATTGTCTGTGTTAGCGGATGATAGCGACACTGGTGCGCTTTGATTTGGTCTCTTTAGCCACCCATTGCTAGGGGGTCATGCAAGTTTGGAAAAAGGTCCAGTGTCACTTTAAATGATAGTAAAATGAAGCAAACATTCCTTTGTGGTTTAGTTCATCCTTTTAGTTCATCCTAATAAAGTTTATCCCGTGGTAAGCCACTGTTATTGTCTATGAAGCACTGACTCAAAGATAAACGAGGGGTAAGTTGTAGACTGATCAGAGATGCTTACTCTGATGTTCTGCTTTTGCTTTGTGAAATAATTTAATTAGCCTTACTCACACCACCCCACTTAAGCAATCTTCAACTCTTTTCAGGTAGGAAGATAAGGGGAACTTTAATCAGAGCAGGCAATGCTATTAGTTATAAAAAAAACTGTTACAAGAAAATTACTTTATTTACTCATTGAAAAAAATTGCAGGTTCCTGTTCATGCTTGCATGAAAAATTACATGTTTGGCATCAAGTGATAGAACAGAATTACAGTGGAGCAGCTTTATGTAGTTAAGGGAGTGATGGTCATCTTTGCATAACCGTATTGTTATACTTCGCTATATATTCACTAGTTGCTCTTATACTCCACTGTTGTCATTATTGAGAGTTGGGGGAGAGGGCTGACAGCTTAAGAATGTAAGGCAGAAGTGTGAATAAATAGTGTGTACTGCTGCTTGCAGATTTGTACTCCACTTGCTTACACAAGTGAGTTTGGAGGCTGGAGTTTTGAACCGCCGCTTTATGAATGACTATAGAATACAGCGAAAAGCAAAATATTTAGTCTTGTATGAATAGCAGGGGTGCAAGTGTTGGGCCATTTGTGCCATTCTGCGCGAATCTGACCTGCTGCGCCAAGCAGTGCCTAAAATGGCAATTTGCATGTGCAACACCAAATTGAGTTGAGTTTTATCATCGACCGAGCACTATGCGTAGGCTACACAAAGGACGCAACTGCGTCTATATCATATCAGTTCGATCACGTCGTATTTTGGTTCATGCATGCATTTTGTTGATGTGGCGTTTGTGCACATGCCTCATTATGTGACTCTATATATGTTTTAACAGCAAAGCTGTTAGCTGAACTACATAAACTGAAAAAAAAAAAAATTAGTTTCACCGGCGAAGGGATGGCTGCAATAGCAAGAATTTGTAAAGTTGTAATGGGAGGGTCGCATGCACTTTTTTCTTTCTATTTTTGCTACTACACCATTACGCTTGTAACGCTGCCTTGCGCAAGCAGCACCCAAAGGACTGCGAACAATCTAAATTATCTTCAAATTCTTCGATGAGATTACGCGTACAATGCGTACTGTAGAGTTTGTTCTGGAACTTACGGAGCTGCTAGCGATAACGCTGGAATCTTCGATGGCACATGTATAAATACCAACGCACTGTGCTGCTTGGCAGGTTGTCGATGGCTGACTGTCTGGTTTGCTGCTGTCGGTCTACAGCTTGTATTGCTTGTAGAGTGACATTTCATTTTCCGGGCACAGGTTTGCCCAAATAAAGTTCACTCATGAAAACAGCGGCTGCTGCCTTCGTCAACCTCACGACCTCTGGACAATATGAAGGCTGAAAGCTAACTTTTTTGGATCCGACCTTTTGACATTCTACAAAACACTGGTGTAAGGGAAAAGTGCAGCCGCTCCGGGGAGAAATGTTCTTATCGCACAATCTATTCCCATTTGGGACGCACCACGTAGAACGGTTTACGAGCCGCGTGCTGATGCTTGCTGAAACGCGTGCCTCAGCTTATCGCAACCACATCCTTAGAATCAAAGTTCACTCTGGTGCTGTAGTGACGGTCCCCCCCCCCCCCCCTTTTCCTGCGTGTATTTTTTTAATGTTTTTCATTCTCGTTCAAGATGGGCCACGTGTTTCATCTCTTCTTGAGCATTCGACGGCAGGTCTAACACGGCATGGGGGGCTATCTATTGCATGAGCCCTCCAAGCGACCGAGATCGGACGCATCGTTTAATTTCTGCTTGAGCAGCGCTCACCACCCCAGCTTGCCCAATTTTCCGTGTGGGGAATGTTACCAACTTGTAGTTTACGCGTAACACGGCGGCAACGGCGAAACCCCGTCGAGTGTCCATATAGTTCCTATTGTAATAAAAGAACAATTACCTAATTGCCTTGCAATAGCGTGGTGAACCCATCTAAATTTCTTTGCGGTTATTATGTCCGCTGTGGCACTTCACTGATCGGAACATGGGGTTTTTACATTGATGTTTATAAAGCCTAATTGGTTTAACATGAACATAACTTTTATTATATTAGTTTATCTTTAGTCTTGAGTTGCTGTTCATGCTGATGCAGTGTTTTAATCACATTTTGAACATTGCAACATTTCAACATTACATTTTTTATTTGTCTGAGTAGCTGTTCAGAGTGCCGCTTATGCAGCTTCAGTAGCTTATGTTTTTTTCTTTGTTTTCAGCTTTGATGTTGTAAGGCTTAATATATATATATCATTTTGGGGTAAGCCTGATCACTTGACTTGCGTTGAATGCTATTCCGATGGAGGCGGAAAGGTTGTAGGCCCGTGTGCTCAGATTTGGGTGCACGTTAAAGAACCCCAGGTGGTCGAAATTTCCACTACGGCATCTCTCATAATCATATGGTGGTTTTGGAACTTTAAACCCCACATATCAATTTAGCACTGAATGCTTAGTAAAAACCAATGACTTTTTTTGTGTTTATGAGAAAGCAAAGAGAAAGTAAAAATTATAATTAACAGAGGTGACCCAACAAATTTGCTCCAGAACTAAATTTTGATGCTCCAATACATTCGTTTTGGTGCTCCAGAGTTGCTACAAAACGCCCCTTTTACTGCTGCAAAGCTACTCCAAAACCTTACTAATCCTGCCCCCAAAGCTGTTCCAAAAGACTGAAGCCCGCTTTCACCCCTGGAATAGCGAATTTTAGGTCCGAAACAAATTCAAAGAAAACAGTGGTTTTGGTCGAGTAATTCTAAATTGAATTCGAATAGTATATAAGGTATACTATAAAGAAAAAGGGACGTATTTGTCATGATGTTAATAACCTGCGCAATATTTTTTAACAAGGGGAACAAGGTCGCTGGAACAAGGAAATGGAAACTACTTTGAATAGTAGAGAGATTTGACTTTGTGTAGAATGTTAAGTGATAACCTGTAAAATATGCAAAATTTTATAGTTTACTATACTCAGAGCATATAAGCTAGTATAGCAAGCTTATAAACTTGAAAAAAAGTTTTCTGAATGAATGTGTGGGTAACATGTTCATTCAACTTTAAGTTGGGCTTCACGGCAATGCAAATTTCCTCCGGATTAAGTGTTTGCGTGGCTTGGCATCTTTTCGAAGTAGTGAAACCTCCTTTATAGGAGATGACATGCAAACTATTATAGATTTTGTAGGTGCTTTCACGACTCACTCCTCAACTACAGTGAAACCGCTTTTATAGGGGGACATGCGTACTAATGAACACGTATATGTTCACTTCAAATACTTTGAAATTTTCTATAAATTAAATTTGAATCCAAGCAAATTCGAATTCATTCAAAGTATTCGAAGATTCGTACAAGCCTAGATATTGTCGACCTGAATGCACGGAGATTTAATTTTGGGTACTCTTTTAGTTCGTGGTATTCATGTGCAGGGCAACTTTATTTTGTTAAAAGAAGGTTTCATGTGCACGCCCCTCTCTGGGGTTTTCCAGGAGAGTTTGGTTTGCTTTTTCATATACTTTATTTCATTATAACTAGGTATAGTGTGTAAGCACATGGATTGAATGCACCACCTTGCATTTGCTTCATCATTGTTTGCAGCTGCAAGACGAAAAATTGAGTTGGCTGAAAGGTTCAAGCTTCTAAAAAAGGCTGGAAAACTCGACAAGTACCTGGAGAAAAGACGCAAGAAGAATGTTCAGAAGGAGCGGAAAAAACTACCTTTATCAGTTACTTAAATTTGGCTTGTATGTCTTGTTTTAAATACATGTATTCCTTCAATTAATTCTCTTGTTTGCATACCATGCTGATGCATTTACTCAATGGAAGGTAACCGACATAACTTGCACATACAAAATCAATGGAATCCTTTGAGATTTGAGGTGGCTACAGTGTACAAATAAATAAAATTGCTGAAAGTCTTAATGAAACTGAGAACTCTTCTGTATAATTGTGTGTTTAAGAGCACTTCTAGAGGCTTTTAGATCCAGCAAATTCTCAAATCATGCCCTGAATGTGCCACTTTTTTTGCGCACTGTTTGTTGTGCATATTCGGTGCCCACGTTGCCCAGCATTAAATCCTTGCTGTCAAGCTTCAAAGAGATGCCTTATCTTGCAATGTTGCATATGTGGCACTAGCATCCTGGTGGACTTAGCTGAGGTGTCGTCTACATAAAACAGCTTGCTTAAATTCAGTTCTTATCTGTTTGTTTTGCATTGTCGTAGCCCTCCCTGCCAGCAATGGGTCCCTGCTGTCAAGCTTCCAAGAGTTAGCTTATTTTGTAGTGCTGCGTTCGTGGCACTAGCACTCTGGTGGCTGAGATAGTGTCTGCGAAAAGGTGCTAGCACTTGCGTACATCACAACTGAAACTGCACGCACAAACTTTTGACATGTTGATTCACTGGTGGTGGAGGGTAATTTATGGTATTATAACTCATCACTATGCTGTAAACCAACAGCATCTATTAGCATTTATAAACAAGAATGATTCGTGAAATGTGTGGGTAAAGTAGTTCAGCCCAGGACCCTGGCTGGCTCCTTCAATAAAGGCCATTTGGCAGGCCCTGAAGGTCAATAGTTTCTGGGCCTCCCACTACTCCATAGCTTGTAGATTGTTTAAGTTAAGGACGAGTTTCTGTACTTCCCACGACTTCTTAGTGTGTACATTGTTTGAGTTTGTTGTTCTACAAACGTGTGGAGGGCACCCCCGTGGTATGTGTACTTATCAGAGTTGGGGCATGAAATTACAGGAAAGTTTATGCAAGAAGAAAAAAAAAATCCAACACAGTCTGCAAATCTTCTCTGGCTTCTGTGGAGGGACAAAAAAGACAAGCCTTGGCACAGTGGATTTTCCTCCACCTTGTAGAGCATGTGCTTAATATTCTTTAACATATTGTGGAGCATCTACAGAATCTGAACCAACTTCTTCATAATCCCTTTTGATGCTGCCAAGTCTTCTCTAGCCTTGGATAATTCTCTCTCCATGCTCTCGCCTATATACCAGTACACAAAGACTTGCTTAGAATACATAAGATCAGTCTTAAGATTCAAATGACCCCAAGCTCCAGCAATTGTAGTTGGGTTAGACAACATGCACACTGCATGTGGTACTTTGGCCAAATGTCCACCCAGAATCTCTTTGGTGGTTACCAGTTTATGTTGACTTGAAAAAGAAGAAAAGAAACTACGATGAGCTAAGTGAGCATGATTTTAGAAAAATATGAGTGGAATGCATGCTAAGAAGGAACCTTGTATCCGGTAGGGCACCAGTCGACAAACTGAACATTTCGCTTGGCCTTAAGGTGGCGGTCCTACTGTCGCCATATTGCGAGTAGAAAAAAACACCAGACGGCGCCACCAAGTCAGGACTGGAAGGCCAACATTTCGGAGGTGAACTGCCACACGTGTGCCAGCGCGCCACACTGCATGACGAGGGGGTGCAAATCACGCTGACACGGTTCGAAGAAATGAGGCACTGAGCAGGGGCTTTTTTTTTTTCTCCCCTTCAGCTACTACAGCACTGTCGCCTTCCGTGCTGAGCACGCATTTTTGTGTCCGTCCTCATCCTCACTCAGTCCGCCTCCCCCCTCGTCATGCTGCCTCGCACCTTCAGGCTAGCATAGTGGCTGTCATTCCACATCTCCTGCCCTCATGCGAGGCCATCTAGACTATTCAGGTGTTAGTGGTGTCGCCTTGGGCATCCCTTCTTGGTACCTGGTAAAACGCCTTCCTCGCTCACTATTGACGGGGGACTACCTGGAGGAGAAAAGCGCGTCGCGTTCGCACATTGTTCACTGATAGGCGCGTGGCTAATTTACTTATACGTACATGGCTTTGGAAGTCTTCCTAGTTAGGAAGCACATGGTGGCAGACACCGGCTGTGTGTGAGAGAGGGTCGGGAGAGGAGGCAGTTGTCGTTACTTAGGTAAAAGAGAAAAATTTAGTGGACTTTATTCCCGAGAAGCTCTTGCTTTCTGTCCTCGCAGCTGTCTTGTAGTGTGCGAGAAGTGCACACAAGGCCAACACGACGAGTGGTCGGCATTCCTTTGTCGTGAAAAGTACTCTGGGTCGACTTACCCCTCGAAATCCAGACCTGCCTGGCGCATTTGTGCGATACGTCTTTCTAGCGCATTACCCCCGTTTACATGGTCGTGATGCGCCAGTTGTCGCATTCGTATAAACGCTGTGCGTGCCGTGCCGGCTTACGGCAAACTGTCGACGCCCGGCTATACGCAAACGTGCTTTCTTATCGAGGAAAGACGAACTGAACCCCACTCCCAACAACCGTGGAGACGGCGTGCCGGCCTCTTGTTGAATGAAGTTAGTTAGTCGCCCCAGCTGGCAGCCGACTGACTGGCAGTTGCCTCGAGCTGTCAGGCTGTAATCAATTTTACACGAATGCCAGGGTAGCCCATCGACTTTGCAAGCGCGTTTCGGAAAGGTGATGCGACGCCGTTTGCAGGACCTCTCGTCTTCTGTACGCCGCAGCTACCATGTGGTGTCGGATTACAGCGAGCGAGTATCGGATTACAGCGACTTGTAGCTGGGCCAGTTGGTTTATGTAAAAGAATTTAAAAAAATAACTCATTAGCTTAGTCGTGCCTCGAGCATGGGAAACAGAAATTCGCACAATTTTCTGCGTCATCAACCACTATATAAATAGGTACATATTAGCGTGAGCAAAATAACAATGACTTGAGAAAGGAGTGGCAGGAGGCAGGAATATCTCAGCTCCCGACATTTCTGCTTCGTCCCACTTCTTTCTCGAGTGTTTTTGTTTTCTTGAGCTAATATTAATTAATTCCTTATAGCGAAAGAGGGACGCACGAAGATCGCACAACGGGGGGTCACCATTCCCCTCATCGTGATTTACAGCCCGTGAATCGACCGGCACTCGCAAAACTGCCCATTTCCTACGCATTAGTGCAAAGCGCCTTCCATTGCTTACATGAATGCGAAGCGCATGTTTCGCACTCATGTAAACGTGCTTTATGCACACCGATGTCACCACACTTTCTTATAAACTTATCCGTTTCAGAAACGTTTCTGTTCTTTTCGAGCTACTAGGCGTAAGTCCAAGATCGGCTATTTCTACTCGTCAGGTGTATGACTCACGCTAACGAGTCAAGGAGCTGCTATCTTGACGCATTGACAGTTCTCCGCACGGCAGACTTCCCAATGACGAATTGTCAGCAGGTGCCGCATGCCCTTGACATTTTTCTCTATTCTTTTTCTCCCCTTCCCCCTCCCCGTGTAGGGTAGCATATAAGCCTTTCCTTTGCCTTTCTCTCTCTCTCTCCTTCAGGCGAAAGCGTCGGCAGGGTGCCTTGTCGCATGGTGTTGTACACTGGCACTGAAGAAAACCAACAAGTTCCCTACTCGACGTTGCAATCCTTAGATTGAGTGGCATAAACCCTCAGTGCATAGGAAATATAGATGGGCTTCACCACTGCCGCTCCCCCACCAGACCTGCTCAGTGGGAGCGTAGTCAAAAGTTATCCGCCTTTCTGCCTCCCTGAAGGACCTCACTCGCCGCGGGTGCTTCAAAGCAGAAAAAAAAAAGAGCCCTGGTGCCTCATTGCTGTCCCCGCACCGAAGTACTTTCTTACACCACGCCGTGCATTCAGCAAAGTTCATGCCACTTCGCTTCGTTGTTACTGGCTGAAAAATCTGCAAGATTTTCAGGCAGTAGCATGATTTTAGCCAGTTTATGCAGTGAGCAACGGAATAAATATTGCTCGATTTTGTGGTTTATTGAAACCGATGACAGATATTCACAGGCGACTCCGAGAGAAGAGTTTGCAAGCGCCCGCGTCCCCTTAGAGCAAGTTTGCAGTGATTATGAGGAACGCCGTCATGGGGTACTCCAGAACATTGGTGTTCGCGCATTTCAGCGCTATGGAAATGTGCGCTTGTCGTATATAAAGGCGGAAAGCGAACACGCGTCCTCAACTCCTGACGCACCATAGTTTTCCCCAGCGTAAATAAATGAAATAAACACGCAGAAAGTACACAACAGACTTCATCTCATTCCTGTAGGTGTGCCTCGTTTCGTGTTTGTGCTGTTTGTTGTGATGGGTTCATACCAACAAGCGCAGCAAGTCTGAAGCTCCGTATATTTCACGGTAAAAAAAAAAAAGATATTCACAAATACCTTACCCACGCACGTCTGCTCAGTTCGCTCGTATCGCTCGCGTTTGTCGTTCGTTTTTCTGCTTTCTTCTGACTGTCGTCGCAAAGCCCTCGCTTTTCGCTATAGTCCGTGGGGGGTGAGGAGGGCGACAAAGACGTACACACATAAAAGAGGGACTTTCCAAGAATTCAGCCTTTCTTTTCTCGTGAAGGCGCTCACCCCATCCTCTCGGAGGATACTGCCCACCTGTTTTCACGCTCTCCCGCGGTACCGCGCAGCATTATGAGACTCTGAGGGGAGGAAGGCTTACAGATGACGGTGCATAGTTTGAAGTTAGAAAAGACGTTTCCTCCTAAGGATGGATGGAATGGATGGATGCTATGAGCGTCCCCTTTATAACGGGGTGGTGACAAGTATGCCACCAGGCTCGACAAAAAAAAAAAAACCTTTTTTCTTTTTTTTATGTTGGCCTAATGCCTCTACTTCGATAAATTCTATCTTAATGGAAAAAAGGTAAATTTTCAGCTTAAGTTCTCTGCCATTTATGGCACACTGTCCATATTTTATTTTCCAATATTTATTTTTGTCCTTTCTCTCTAATTTTCTGCCACCAATACTCTAACCGTCTCTTACTTATTTCAATCGCGGGTGTGTTCAGCTTTCCATTGTTGTCCCTAAAACCCAAGGCTTCCTGTAGGCTCGTGCCCAAACGTACACCTGGGTGGATATCTCCACATTCAATCAGAACATGCTCCGCCGTTTCCTTATCTTTCCCGCAGCATGTGCATTGTTCTTCT